GTTTAGAGCTTTAAAAGAATGTCCTTAGTCCTAAACTACAGACACAGATATTATCATTATGATTTATAATTAAATCAGGATTTTACTGGCTTTTTGGGGGGCTACTGTTGTTGTTGCCTGATTTCACAGCGGCTTTTCAAAAACAAAAACACATGAGATGCAAGTTGAGATGTTTTTACGAATCTTTTGACGTAAAATGAGTTGCAATTTTTTGGTATACTTCATTAAAAATCAATTTGTTCTGACACCATTACTCAATCCAGCTGAATGACAGCTCGGTCCTTCAAGGAATAGCAAAAACAATAGGAAAGAGAGAAAGGACAAATAATAACAAATAAATGACATTGTAAAAAACAAATAATTGAACAAAATGAAGGAAAATTCTTTATTCTTTTATGTGTTATTTGTTTGTATATGTATTCTTTTTTATGGCGCTCCCATGACTCCATTGTTGTTTGTTTTGATTATAGTGATGATGGAGAACTGTCTTTTTTATCTGTGCTAGACTAAAACAAAGTACTGAACACTAAAGTTTGAAATAATTTTTAGGATATAAATCCAGCTCATCAGAAATCCAGACATACTGACCTTGGGATTTTCAACAACTCACTTCAGCAGAACCCTGACAATGATGGTAAATTTGTAATTTCATACAACTTTCTGTCTTTTTAAAAAGGCCCTAAATAGCGTTTCCTTCGTTTCTGTCATATATATATTGTTTCAGTGTGGGATGGTGATATTAAAGGGGGTCAACCTGTCAAATAATGAGGTAAATGCGTGTAAAGCTATTCCCTGTGAGCAGAAAGCTCAGAATTGAGACTACTCTGAATGTTTCCAACCTCTTTTTCTTGTTTATGTGACTATCCAATGCCGGCTCGTCACAGATTTCTTTATATGGTTATCTGCTCCAGGCAGAGCATGACTGAGCATGTCCACAAAGTACAGCGACTGTTTTTGGAAGAGTGAATCATGCAAAGTGGAGAATATGGAGCTGGAAATTAGCATAATAGCTTTACTTTAAATATGTGTGTTTGCTCTGTATGCTAACTGGTTATCTGAGGTTGTGTGATATGTTGATGATGTATTTCTATATTAGGTTTATTCTCCAGTCAGTACCCTTGACCACAACACTGGCTCAAAATTCGAGTTGGTCCCCTAGTCCCACTGCTCCTAATTCTTAGAATGGGTCAAATGCAGAGAATAAATTTATCTGCAGGGATCTATAGAATATCATTTAAACTTATGACACATGAGAATTGAATAAATAATTGGATTTGAAAGTAGCTTAACAAAATTAATTAGATTTAATTGAAGGAAAAATTACTCCAAGTCAAAAATGACTCCTCTGTTCCAGCTGGTATTCATCCTCCTCCTGGCTCCACTGTTGACCAGCTGCGTTAAAATCATCCTACCAGCCGACTGCAGTGACATCCATCAACAAGACAAGGAACAACCCAGTGGAGTGTACACCATCTATCCCATCGGATCCACATCTGCTGTCCAGGTACAACTCACCTCAAGATGCTGGTTCAAAGATGAGTCAACATGTAAAGACACAGTTACAAGTTCTGACTGGTGCTTCTGATACAACAGATACAAGTAGTTGTAGCACCGTAGTACCTGCTATAGCATGTTTGAATGTACTGTGTAAAGTATTTGTTTCACTAATGAATGTGTGTCTGTGTGTAGGTGTACTGTGACATGGAGTCAGAAGGAGGACGGTGGACGGTGAGTTCTCACTGAAGTCAACTTAAACTCAGAGCCAAGTGCTTTAATGTTTTAACATCTGTTTGCATTGCAATCTGAATGTTCTCAGGATGTTCTTTGAGGTTCTCTCCAATCCGTGTATATTCCATATGCACAGGGAATGATACTCCATTGTCAGGGTACTTGAAGTACGAGCAAACGTCCGGCAGACACAGTGGCTTGCAAGGGTTGTTAAAGTCAGACTGCAAACTGCATTAGATCAGACCGTACTGTGTTTAAACAATAACTACTAACTAACACTAAAATGCCATAAACCTGAACTGTGTGGTGATTCTCTTCACTCAAATAAAGCTGCTTTCATGGACTCAAGGGTTGCATTTCTACAAGCTAGCATTATGTTAATTAGCTAGCTAACCTTAGCTACCATGTGCTCACATATTGCTAGGCCACATGAAGGAAATCAAAGCGCAGATACAAAACAGATTCCTTACATGGGAGCAGTGTGAGGGCTGTGATCAGAACAAATGGAAAGTATGAAGGAAAGTTGCTGCACAGGGTTTTCCCCAAGAGGGAAGTAAAACTCATTCCTTCTTTTTGATCAGTGATAACGTAGTGTTGAGACGTGCAGAACAACAAAACATTTCCTGTTTTAAACAGTAATCTGATATAAAAGTCTACGTCACCTACTCCTTTAGTATTTAAGGTTTGACCAGTTTAGGCAAACGTTAATACGACGGAGACAGACTGAAGGAGACGCAGCAGTTTGTCTCTGTTCTCTGAAGGTGAAGCCTCCTTAGTTCAAACTGCAGGTGAGTTCAGACAGGTAAGCATCCTACCAGGAGACACCGACAAAGAGAAACGGTGTTTTGCAGTGCAATGCACCAGAAAAAACAGGAAAAAAAGAAGATGTTAAACTTAGGTTAAACATGGATGTAAACAATGCAACATCTAGGCAAAGATTTTTTGCAGGATAGTTTAATGTTTTGGTACTTTCTGAACAGTTTTGTTCCATTTTCTTACCCAGCCAGTACTCTGCCAGCAGCGCATACCAAAGCCTTATACCTGCTACGACTCCAGGGCCTCTGTAGAAGTTCAACTGAGCCGTCCATCCTCCTCTGGAACACCTGGTTAGAAACAAATGATTTTAATGAAGTATACCAAAAATTGAACTCATTTTACGGGTCAAAAGACTTCGTAAAACATCTCAAACTTGCATTCATGTGTTTTGGTTTTTTGAAAGCCGCTGGTGAAATTCAGGCAACCAACAACAGTAGGCCCCCCAAAAAAGCCACTGAAAATCCTGATTTAATTTAATTAATGAATAAATATCTGTGTCTGTAGTTTTAGGACTAAGGACATTCTTTTAAAGCCT